TCAAACTAATAATACTCAATTTAATGGACTAGTAAATAATAGATTACCCAATTCACCTCAACATAGGAAGTTTTCATATCTATGTTTGCAATTTGCACTTATTTAATATTGATTCCACCCACTTTGTTTGCTAAGAACAGAATTGAGTTATAATTTCTTTAATAAAATTATAATAATTTGTCACGAAAATATGCTGATGAAATTAGGAGATTGTGCGAATTAAAGAGGTATTTAGATGAAAAGTCGTAATTGAAATTATGGGAGACCGTAATTGAGCATTTATCAAAATGCTAATAGTTTTTTTTTTTCCAGTATTTCATTTACAATTTTCCATCGTAATTTCGATTTATTTATTTCAATTTCATTCTTGCAATTAGATGGTGAAGATTCCAGAGTTATTTCAATCTGTGGATGCTTACCTTGGTCCATATGTCTTCCCTTTACTGGAAGAAACACGTGCTGAACTTAAATCTTCCATGTACACTATTAATGCAGCACCTTTTGCAGAGGTCACATATCTTAGAGCGGCAAATCCTTCTGATAAGCAATCATTTCTTTACGACGTTAAAGTTGATAGCTGGAAAAATAGATTTATGGATAATGGTAGTAAGCCATATAGAACCGTGCCTGGAGATGTTGTTTTGCTTTCAGATGGGAAACCTTCTGCGGTTGCTGACCTACAGTTAAAGTTTGAAGAGAAAACAAGAATAATTTTGTGAAACCGTGACCACCATTGTTGAGGTATTAAACATTATATAATGAAAATGAATTGTTACAAGGAAGAATCTAGAATTTACAGCTGGAGGTTAGTTCCTGAAATAGTGGATCATGCCTGGAATAATTTACAACAGAATTGAGTGGAGGCACTACAAGAAGAAACGGTATCTACAGCTAAGAAAAAAGTGACTCATGCAGTGCTCCAGCTGGTGCTTCAATTAGCTGAGGTGGAGCTGATGTGGAACAATTCTATTAATTCTGTTAACACCCTCCCTCAAGTTGAAGGTGCTAGAGTGACTCCAAGCTTGTCCTTTAAGAAAAGAAACCTTGAATGATTCAATCATTTGGTTAGCAAATCATCAATTTGATATGAAGTTGGCACATACTTTACTTCCAATTCTTTAGCTATTACTTTATCTCTAATGAAATGCACGTCCAGCTCTATGTATTTTGTCCTGGCATGATACACGGGGTTCGCTGCTAAGGCTCCAACACTCATATTGTTACACCAGATAGTTGAAGTTTCAGCCAATGGTAGTTCCAGCTCCTGAAAAAGTGATTGAACCCATGCAATTTCTGATGCAGTTGAAGCAAGTGCTCTATACTCTGATTCAGTACTTGAGCGTACCACAACTTGCTGTTTCTTTGAAGACTAGCTTATCAAATTATCTCATAAGTAGACACAATAACCAGTGGTAGATTTTCTGCCATCAGGGCAAGATGCCCAGTCTGCATCTGAGTAACCATTTAGTGTGAGTCTATCAATTCTTTGAATCCAAAGTCCATGATTTATTGTCCCTTTGAGGTACCTTAATACCCTTTTTAGTGCTTGCCAATGTAATGACGTTGGGGCTTGCAAGAACTGACTCAGTTTATTAACAGCAAATGTTATGTCTGGCCTGGTATACTGGAGGTACTACAAGCTTCCTACAATACTTTTGTATGCTGTTTGATTCTTCAATGATTCCCCATCAGCTTTAGACATTGATTTACCAGCACGAATAGGTGTGATGCAAGGTTTTACATTTTGCAAGTCAAACCTTTCAAGTAGATCAGTAATATACTTAGTCTGTGTGAGATGAATTCCTGAATTATGCCGTAGTACCTCAACTCCAAGAAAGTGGTGCAGCCTTCCCATGTCCTTCAATGTGAATGTTTTGTTCAAATTGTTTATGAATTTCTGTAGTAATTCTCTGTCATTTACTGTAATCACAATATCATCTACATAGATAAGTGCAAAGATTATTTGTCTATCATTTTTGAAGTAAAACAGTGAAGTATCAGCTACTGATTGCTTGAATTTCCAACTCAAAAATGTGGATTTTAACTTCTCATTCCAGGCTCTAGGTGCCTTTTTTAATCCATAGAGTGCCTTGCTCAGTTTGCACACATGATTGGGCTTCGATTTATCAACATACCCTTCAGGTTGACACATGAAAATAGTCTCTTCCAGTTCTCCATTGAGAAAGGCATTGTTGATATCAACTTGCCTGATTGTCCACTCCTTTGCTACTGCCAAGGTGAGAATGATTTTGAGTGTTGATGGTTTGATAACTGGGCTGAATGTTTCATAGAAGTCAATACCAGGGGTTTGATGAAACCCCTTTGCTACAAGTCTAGCTTTGAACTTCTGTATTGAGCCATCGGTGTCGTGCTTGAGTTTGAATACCCATTTATTTCCAATAACATTGAGCATTGGTGAGGGAGATACAAGTTCCTAGGTCTTGGCTTTTGTCAAAGAATCAAATTCTTCCTTCATTGCCTTCTTCCAATCATCACTCATCAATACTTCAGTTACACTATTGGGTTCTGAGAGAATTTCAGTTAGTTTTCCAAGATAAATTTTTGGTTTGAACACTCCAGCTTTCTCTCTAGTAATCATAGGATGCCCAGCCTAATTTTCAGCTCTGTGTTGAGGATCATTTAACTGCAAAGAATCACCTGATTGCAAAGATGCTTGATTTATCTGTGGCACACTTTGTTCTGGCACCTCAAGTTCTGTTTCATCAGTTCCTTCAGAATCACCATTCAACATATTGTTCTGCTAATTGTCATTGAAGTCTGATAGTGAGTGATGTTCAGCAGGAACAACTTCATAGTGAGTAGTATCAATAGGATCTAAGGTAGACACTGTTTTGTTTGGTTCAAAAGGAAAGTGAAAGTAAGACACTATGGTTTCAGACACAGTTGGTTCTGAATGACCTTTGGCAGCGGTTAAAGATTTAAAAGGGAACTCTAATTCATTAAATACCACATGCCTTGAAATGTAAAGTCTTCTAGTTGCACTTAGGCACTTGTAGCCTTTATGAGACTCACTATATCCAATAAAAGTGCACTTGGTGGAATGGAAACTAAATTTGTGATTTTGATAGGGCCTTAGACAGGGGTAGCAGGCACAACCAAATTCTTTCAAGGTCTGATAGTTAGGCTTCTTGTCATATAGAGTTTGATAAGGTGATTGGTTTTGAAGAGTAGGTGTTGGCAGCCTATTTATGAGGTAAACAACAGTTTGGAAAGCTTCCCACCAGTACTTTAAGGGTAAACTGGCTTGAGCTAGCAGTGTTAGACATGTTTATGTCACATGTCTATGCTTTCTTTCTATCCTACGGTTTTGAGCTGAAGTGTATAGACAAGGGTACCTGAACTCAATCCCTTCCTGGTTCAAAAACTTTGAAAAAGATCTATACTTACCACCCCAATCAGCTTGTAATGTTTTTATTTTACAAGCCAGTTTGTTTTCAACAAATTTTTTGAATTGAATGAATACATTTAAGGCTTCAGATTTCTATTTCAATGGATAGATCCAAGTAAATCTGCTAAAGTCATCAAGGAAGGATATGTAATACTTAAAACCCGAGGTAGATAAAATAGGAGCTTATCCCCATATATGTCTGTAAAAACTAGTTCTAGTGGTGATTTGACGTGAGATGAAGATAAGGGAAAAGGTAACAAGTGAGCTTTGTCAAGTTGACAAGCATTGCAAAACGGTTTGATTTCATTTCCTTTAATTTTGACATTACAGGAGTTGAGTACTTGGTTCATCACTTGGCTAGAAGGATGACCAAGTCTCTTGTGCCATATATCAGAAGTGGAATTTAAAGATTCATGATTAGGAACAACAGAAGACAAACTGTAGAACGATTTATTTGTGAGTGCTGACACTTGGGTGAGACTCTTGGCAGTTTGGTGAGGAAGATCGAGCTGATATAGCCCCTCTTTAAGCTTCCCTTGCATTATCACTTCCCTCGTTAATTTGTCCTTGACAAAACAGCAATCATGGTAAAATTCCATATACACATTATTATAAGAGGTTAGCTTAGAAACACTGATCAAATTCTTCTTAATTTCAGGCACGTGAAGAAGTTTATTTAGAACTAGAAACTTATCATTCAAAGCTGGAATGTGTTTGGTGTCAAAGTGAAAGATAAGCAACTTACTTCCATCCCCTACCATGATTTTCTCCTTACCAATATATTCATTTGTGGAGGTGAGGTTTCCTTTGTCTGAGGTAAAGTGATTACTAGCTCTAGTATCTGTATACCAGGCAAGATCATTCCACTATGCTGGGCGTTGCAATAAGAGCAGTAGGTGAAGTGCTATAGCCCGTTCTTTGGTTTGTTGGAGCCCCAGTATATGTGTCATCATATCTGAAGTTACATATGTTAGCTTTGTGGCCTACTTTCCCACATACTTGATACGTTGGTCTATCACTTCCACCATAGAGATAGCCTCCTCTGTTTCTACCTCTTCTCCCACCTCTGTAGTTGCTGAAGTTGGTGAATTTGCCACCATAGCCTAGTCTATAAGACCTTGAACCACTGCAATTGCAACCAGACCTTTGAGAAAAATTAGCTGAGATTTGATTGATGTTAATCTCAGCTATGTCATTTCTCAGGGAATTGAGGTGTTCTAGCCTACTTTCTGTCATAAGTGTAGACTGAAGCTCTCCCCAGGATATATGATCTTTGCCATTAATTTGAACGACAATTGGGTTATAATCCTTATCTAAACCAGCCAAAACCTGAGTGACTAAGTCAGTATGAGTTATAGTTTTCCCAGCAATCTCAAGGATATCAGCAAGTTGCTTCACTTTGTTGAGATATTGGTCAATGTTCATTGTACCCTTTCTAGTTTTCTACAGTTCACCAGTGAGAAAAATGATTCTAGACTTGTTTTGTACTCCATAACTTTCTTCAATTGCTGTTAATGGTTCCTTTGAGTTTGTTGCACCTATAACCCTCATTGCAATGTCTGGGGTCATCGAAGAATAGAGCCAACCCATGACCAATTGATCTATTGACATCCATTGGCTATGTTCGGGATTTTGAATCATCTCAATGCTGGTTCCAGCTTCTCCTGTTACTTGGCTACCAGTGAACTCTTGGGGATACTCCTTTGTCCCTAAGATATATCCTTCAAGGTTGTGTCCTCGTATGATTGGCAATATCATATTTTTCCACAGTAAGAAGTTGTTTTTGTCCAACTTGAGTGAGGTTAATTCCAAACGGTGAGGTGCTATTGCTAGCTATCAGTGGAGTATCAATGCTGCTGGAAAATGAAGCAGGTGCAGAGATGGGATCATTTTGAGGAGTATTTCTGGCGTTTGCCATGTGTTCTAATACCAAGTTAAAGTTTGAAAAGAAAACAAGAATAATTCTGGGAAATCGTGACCACCATTGTTGAGGTATTAAATATTATATAATGAAAATGAATTGTTACAAGGAAGAATCTAGAATTTACAGCTGGAGGTTAGTTCCTGAATAGTGGATCATGTCTGGAATAATTTACAACAGAATTGAGTGGAGGCACTACAAGAAGAAACAGTATCTACAGCTAAGAAAAAGGTGACTCCTGCAGTGCTCCAGCTGGTGCTTCAGTTAGCTGAGGTAGAGCTGATGTGGAACAATTCTAATTCTGTTAACACCTACAAAGTGCTAGATGGAAATGGACTATTGCATACATGACTCATATTTCAGAGGATGAGAATGATAATAATTCTGTGATTGCCAATTTCAAAGTGAAATTTGGGAAGCGGCTTGAATATGGAGATCGATTGGGCAATTCGGTCTATGTTGTTTTCTTGATGAACACAGCAACTCATAAAGAAATATCTGGTAAGTTACATTGCTGCTATAGAAATAACATGTAATCAGAATTTGTTTTATTTCATGGGATGGAATGACATCGGCACCGTATAATGATGAGCAATGAAACACATTTTTGAAACCACAATATTTGACTTTTGTCTTTCAATTTCTTAGTTTTATATGATGTCAAAATTTCCTATTTTTTCCCACGGTATAGCTCCGTAAAATTATGCAAATTAAGTTGTATGTTTGCTGGGTAGTTTTTTCTTATATTTACACGTATTTTTCTATTATTAACATCGTCTATTTTGCCTATGATGGCGTCTGATAAATCTGGGGATCCAGGACTAGATTACAAGTTGGGCTAATACGTAAAAAAAAAAAATTACACAAGAATAATTACACAAGAATTTTTTTTTTTACATAATTTTTTTTCTACTAAAAAAATTGAATGGGCTGGGGGATGGACCGGGCTACACCCCCCCCAGATCCATCAGTGGCTCTGCATAAGTTGTATCAGGCTGAAGATATGTGTAACGTTTGCTCTCAACGCGTTACTCAACTAAATGTAGCAACTAGATCGACTGTAACATCCAAGTTGAATAAATCGCAAAAGGAGGCAATAATGGAGACCATTAGGGGAGTGCAATGTGAGCACAAGACTAACGTAAAACTCATATGGGGTCCTCCAGGGACTGGGAAGATGAGGACTTTAAGTGTAACGCTACTTTGTCTCATGCAAATGAATGCTAGAACATGTGCCGAAACAAATGCAGCAGTCCCAGATCTGGCCACTCAAGTGGTAAAATTATCCAGGGATTCATTTAAAGCTGAATACAAGAATGGAATTTCATCTTATCCATTGGGTGACATCCTAGTCTCTGGGAATAAGGATCATACGGAAATGTTTTCAGACATTGAGGAAATATCTCTTGATTATCGTGTTGATAAGCTTGCAGAGTCCTTATCACCTGCAGCTGGTTGGAAACACTGTATAACTTCCATGATCTGTTTTCTCGAAGGTTGTATTTCTCAGTACCGTTTCTATGTGGATGAAGTATATAAACCAGAATCAAGATCTTTGTTGGAGTTTTCTAGAGACAGATTCAGACATACAGCATGGTCTCTTAGAAGACATATGCTGACATTCTTTTATCATTTACGTAGAAATTTCATTGTGAACAAAATTTTCAATACGTAGTGCAACTTCTTTCCCTACTGGACTCTTTGGAAACATTGTTGTTTAAGGACAACTTGAAATCTGAAGAACTGCAACATATATTTTTACATCAGGGAATGGTTGGTTCTTTCAAATAGTTTGTTCACACGTTAGCCTTACCAGATGTGATAACCAAGTGTCTGTCTATTTTAAGATCCCTCCAGTGTTCTTTTTCAAAATTTGACATTCCAAGTGCCATGAGTAAAGCTGAGATAAAAAGATTATGTATCCGAATGGCTACCTTAATAGTTTGCACAACTTCTTCATCTTCTAAGCTACACTTAGTGGATATGAAACCTCTCAAATTGTTAGTCATTGATGAAGCTGCTTAATTAAAGGAGTGTGAATCAATTATTGTTCGGCAAATTGTTGTCGAACGACCTCTCGCGTAATGATGTTAATTATTATTTATTCAGTCGACCAATGACTGAATTGAAGCATCAATACTGCAATTATAATGACCTAAACCTATAACCTATTTGGGCTATTTGAAGTAGCATAATTTTATTAGAGCTACTCATGGCCTGACCTATCACTCCATGGATGGCTTTTGGTTGATAGCACATTTATTTATTCCTATTAACTATTGGGCCTAACTACCGTTTAACCTAAAATCCCACTTAATTGTTATATATGCTGGCTCCCGTCTTTCGGACTTGGCAGTGTGAAAACATTATTGCTAGCCTACCTTTTGAGGGAAAAACTGCAGCTGTAGTCTTTGGCTTCGTGCTTCCCCTTTGTAGAATCTTTCTCCTTTTCTCTTCCAACCTTTGTGGCTAATTTTTGTGGCTGTAATAATAGTTCATACCGTGTCCTTTGTGGGCAACCAAGAAACTCGAGTTAAGGGTGGTTGTAGGAGTGTTTGGGTTTTGCAATTTTGTGGTTCGATTCGGTATTATTGTGAAATACTGAGTCAGAAAGCTTTGGTGTCAATATTCCACTCAACATTTGGTATCAGCGCGTTTGTGGCGTGGTGTGAAAGTTTCGGCCAAGACTAGAAAACGACAGGAGAAACAGATCCAAAATTCTGTTCAATTTTCATCTTTCAACCGCACCTGTAATAGCATTTTCTGGCCAAACCAGTGACTATTTGAAGAATCCATTACCATAGGGAGAATCTGCAGGCGGAGGTGTACCTGGGTCCACCGCGCGGAGCATGGAAGGGTGATGGTCTCTGGCGGTCGCGGAGCATGGAGGCGTGTTTGGCGTAGTCTAGGGAAACCTTCTTCGGACAGTATTTTTCTAACGAGATTTCTAACGTTTTCGTGGTGTTAGTTTTTTTGTTTCAGGTGATACAGTAAAATCTGGACGATTTTGCCCATGCACATTCGTGATTTAGTTTCGCATTCAATCGGTTACATGAGACTTTAGGGAGAATAGTGGTGGCCATAAAATATTAAATACGTATTTCTCATTATTTACGAACTCGGATTGGTCCGTTTCGGTAAATTGGCTAATCCCGTTTAATTTCCACCACTAGCGCGTCAATGTATGTGGTGACAATATAATGAGGGCTACCGTGTGGGGTAACCATTGCTTGTGCTATAAATTAAGAACTACTTGCATTTAGTTGCTACGTGAGTAAATTATTTATTTAATAAATTTCAGCATACTATCTCTATAATATTTTGTGCATGAAACTGTTTTGGTTGACAAATCTCCTATTGCACTGTTAAGTCCCTAGAATACATAGACCTTACACGTTTGAATATTCCTTTGATCTAAGATCGAAATCTTACGAAACACCGAGAATCTAAAACAGTGTATATTGTTTGCAACTTTAGATCTACTTTTTGTGGCTTAATTATGATTTTGTATTTTTTGATTGATTATTTTGATAACAACTAACAATTTTGATTTTGGAACTTTTAATGAAAAATGTGATTTTTCAATCTAGTAACAAAAAATGAAAGGTATTTTGGTTCAACAAAATGTTTCAAAAGCTATCCATGGCAATTTTTTCGCTGATTTTTCAAAAGAACAAAAAGAAGAAGCTCATGAGTTTGCTTATACCTCAATTATTTTACACTTGTCTGACGCAATTTTGAAAAAAATGAATAAATTGAAAACCACTAAAGAATTTTGAAAAAAGTTGGAAGACTTGTATTTGCTCAAATATACTCTAAACAAGCTTTTCCCTATTTACCTAACTTGTTCAATTCGTTGAGTTCAGCAAGTTGGTCCACTATGATATTAAAACCATGTGAGATAAACATTTTTAATTATTAGTGAGATTAATTAATTTTTTTTGAATAAGATTAATTAATTTCATGAGAAGGGAAGAGCAATAGAGAGAAAGAGAAACCATTAAATAGTCGATTGGAAGTTTCGTAGGTTATTCTTAATTATTTTAATTACAAATGATCTTGAGGGAAGTATTACCGCCAATAAGACGAGTTAGATTTTTTTTTCCTCGTCAATATTTGGTTGATCTAAAATTTTCAATATATGATCTGCTTCCATATTTTTCGAACTTCGATCGAAAAACTTATTGTAGACTCTACTAGTAAACAGAATGATTCCACATAGAAATCGAATTTGAAATTCTGGATACCATTTCTCGTATCTATACAAAGATAGAAAATAAAATGAGAGAGAATTCAAGTCTTTCAATTTGCCAAACTTGTTCAATTCATTAACCCTTGTTTGGGCTCCATTAATAGAAATAAGAAAGAGGGAAAAACATTTTTTCAAAAATGGAGCCTATACATGGGCTAAGTCGAGCAAGTTGATCCATTGGTTAGGTTTTCCCCTTGTGTGAAGTTAAATTTTTGAAAAGTCATTTTGTAAAAAGTGGGGTTGTTCTCTTTGTGTTTCAGTTTTGAGTTTTGAATTCATTTTGTGTTTTGTGTTTTGAGTGTCTGTTTTGAAATTGCTGAAAATGAGTTCTTTTTGTCATTCTGAAAAACTGTTTCTCAAAACATAAAAATGGAAAATGCGCTTATTTTGAAATTTTGAGAATATTTTATTCAAGAAATCTGGTTATTCAATAAATTTTAATAGTTTAATATTAATATAGTATTAAATAACATATAAATTTTGAAGGTTGTGAATTTTGAAATATTTTTTTCCAGATATAAAAAACACAACTTAAATTAAATTTGGCAACTCCTTGTTTTTGTTCTTGTACGTAACTTGTGCAAAAATTAATTAGCATCAAGTCACAACNGAGCACTAATCTCAAGTTGACATGGTAATAAATATTTTGAAATCAATTTTATCGAGATCAGATATCCATATTGATGACATTTGGTGTCATATTCATTTGGTGCATGTTTGGTACTCAACATTTGAAAAAAATGGACAATATTATTAGCAGTATTTCAGGTCATTTTTCTTCCTTAATACTTCCTATACTGTATTATTCTCGTACTACTAATATCATTTCCAATGATTCAAAAAATATCTAAAGCTCATTTAATTAAATATATGTAAATTTTATGTTTTACCAATCCTAAGCAAGAATGTGAATCAACGATGGTAAAGAATCTAATTCTGAATTTGCTATTACAACTCTGCAATGCATTAATCTAATCCCAACTGGTTTACTCATGAAACAATAGAGAAAGTTGCATTTCAAATTCAGTAGCAGGATCTTCAGAATTCTCGTCTACATAAAGCCCGTATAAACAAGATCGCACAAAAAAACAAATAAAGATGACAGGATTCTCGTCTTTACTTGAACAAACTTTTGGACAATGGCAGCAGCATGCAGCTGTAGAGGCACTTGAAGCACTTGCTAAATGGAGGCACCAATAGTAGAAAGAGTATTTACGATAGAAGCACCTGATGCTGGGGAAACAATAGGCAAAGTTATCCTGGCAAGAGATCCAAAGTTTGCCAATTGAAGAATTCCAGGTAATACTACTCTAGTTGAAACTAATGACTCATCTAACTTTCTCTTTTTTCCACGACTTTCCAAAACGTTAAAAAGAATCTGAATTATGATAAACAGAACATATTTTTTTCATCCAAAATATGCCAAACGGAGAAATGCAGCAAGTTAACTGAGTCCCTTTAGCTCAAGTGAATGTCACTAGCTACTACAATCTATTTAGATGTTTTCCATTTTTTTCTCTTTATAAACGTTAATTTATCCCTTAACATGTAGAAGTCCACCAATTTAATTGACCAAAAATATAAGGATTATCATAGAAGGTTATCAAGCTTGGAATGCCCCATCATTGATCATCTAAGTTAAAAAATATACCCTTATAGTGGCCAGACTACAGATTCCACAACATGATTCACATCAATGATGAAGATTTCCTCGTATTAGTTCTCATAATGAACTATAGAGAGTTGATTAGAGCATTCCACTACAAAATGTCATATTTCTATTACCAAAGATGTATTTACCATGGACATTTATAATTTTGCTCATCAACTCACTTTCTCATCAAAGTTACCTTCCCGACGAGTACCCTACTAATATATGTCCAAAGCCAAGTCACAACTAGGGCTCTTCAGTTTCCAAGAAGAACTCGGCCTGTAATATTTTGATAGATAAACAACGTGCATCCATTATAGGACATTTCTATATATTTTTCCAACTTATCAATATATCAATTAGGGCAACTTTTGACATTTGGCATCAACAACTTAAAGCTAAAAATTGCTAGTCCATTGCATTCAAAGATCAGAGAACATCAATTCTAACATTTAGCTTACGCCAACAATCAAATTCAAATGCAAATGATCTTAAGCACGGTTGAACTAAAACAATGCCTAAAATCACCTCCTCCTTTCATCAAAATCCACCCTTGAAATTAGTAATACCGCCAAAACTCCATTGCCAGTTCCCTAACAACTAAATAACAATCACAACATGTACTTAAGCTTACATCCAAACAATAATATAAAGCTATGTATCATATGAATTAAAAAGACCCGTGTCAAAGGAAAACACAAGAAATTAAAGAGAGAGAGAGAGAGAGACCTGATGGATTGGTGGGTACATAGAATAGGTGCAAACAGGGCATTCAAGCAATTCATGGACTCTGCCACTGCAAATTCCAGAAAGCACCACATTATGAGGCTTTGAAGAATGCCGAGGATCTTTTCATCTTCAATGCACTCTGATGAAGGCGCACATTCCACATTTTCCATTTCAATTGTTGCCATTTGGAGCCCATTTCAAATATCCAATCATTGGCAGAAATTCACTTGCTCAAGTTCGCAATCCAATTTCACTCCAAATTGAAAGAAAAATCCTATTTTTTTTGCATAAACCCCACCTCCTAAATATCACCGCTTAATCCTATCTTGAACAAAATCAAATATCATCAAATCTCCAAAACAAAATAGGAAGATAGTTACCAAAAAAATCCCAATTGCAGGTGACCTCAACAGAATTTAACTCCTATTTATCAAAATAGAAAATCGAAAAGCATTTTCCCCACACCTAGCGAATCAAATAAATATAAATTGCAGATGACCCATGGTGGTTCTGGATGCGCTTGATTGAGAGGAGTGGAGTGGTGGTGGTCCGCGATCGAAGCGGTGGTCGACGGCGGTGGAAATATGGCGAAAATTGTGACTGGTAGCGCGGTTTTGCGTGGTGATTGGGGCTGTTTTCGGCAATCTCGTGGCCAGGTGATGACAAAAGGTTGAAGATGGAGGTGAGGGGGTTCAAATGGTAGTGGGGTCTGGTGGTCTCAGTGACCCGTGGTGGTCGATTGTCGAGGAAAAAGGCGACTGTTCTTCTGGCTCTCTAACGCATAGTTATGGAGAAAGAAGGGGCCGTTTTCTGTGTTCTGAGATTTTTCTGTGTTTTGGCTTGAAAACACTCAAATTATTTTGGAAAATCGAAAAACAGAAAATGGCACGAAAACAACAAAGATAACATGTGCTAATTTTTTTGAAGAACGAGTAGATAAAAAGTAATGATTTTTTAAAAAAGAATATCTAGTTTAAATGTGTTTAGAAAAATAATTAATCTATTTGTACATTGTTTTTATATATTATGGATGACGTCCTCTTAAGTATAAAAAATTTGGCGAACGACTGTGTTCAAAACCAATGACCATGGTTGCTGTCCGATCAACATTATCAAATTTAGCTCTTGTTTGAACCCCATTTTTCTATCAAAATGTAATCTTGAACAGTGATTTGACCACATTTCAACCACGCATTTTTAAATAAAATAATATTACAAAACTTATTTTTAAATTTTTTAACCATACATTTTTTATCATAACAATATTGCAAAATGCATTATTTATAATGTACTAGCAAAACTGTTAGAAAAAAGCATTTGTTCGGCCTCCATTAAATTATAATTCATTTTTCTCTCTATTCTTATCAACTACAAATTCTCCAATAAAATAATATTACGCGTAAATCAAAAAAATTTCTTTATTTTTAACCACACATTCTTTAAAAAATTATTATTCCAAAATATATTTGGTTATATTACGCCCCTGTTTGGTACGAATTTAAGTTAATCAACAATTAATTTTAACCATATATTTCATGGGATCCATAATTTTTCAACCACATATTTCTTTAACTTTTATCAGAATATATTAAAAATTTAATTTCCAATGATCAATAAAATATGGGGCCTGTTTGAATATCATTCAGTGTAGAATGTATTTTGAAATAGTAGATTAATTGAGAATGCTTGGTTAAAAATGAAGGAAAAGTTTTTGAATTGTGTGTAATATTAGTTTATTGAAAAATGTGTGGTTGAAAAGAAGTTTCATAAAATTCTTTGCAAAAACAAAAGGAAAAGTTATGGCAAACGATTCCTTAATTGACAAGACTGACGATGTCATTGATCCAATTGATAAATAACATAGTACATGATCTCTTGTAGCATTTACCGCCATTTGCTTTTGTTGTCCTCGAAAACATTCGTGGAAGAAGGTCACAGTTGGAAATTTCAACGTGGGGAAAAGCAAGACTCGAATGGATGACCATAAGTTCGTGAGTCAAGAAGCAGCATCGCAATATGATCCAAAAACCTTTTCTTTAACAACCTTTTTTCTAGTGCGCTTTGTACGGAAGATTTTAGATTACTTCATTACAAAGAAAACCCATTTATCTATGTGTATATATACTCTGTATTACTTCACTGCAAAGAAGTTTCATGCTTACAATAGTCTTGCTCTTGCACTTACAGGTTTTTGTAATTTTCAGTTGTTGATAGCTAAAATAGCAAAAGAGGGTGAAAAGTGACAATGGAAGAGTGTTCTTCAAGCACGAAAAGAGCACGGCCTAAGGATGAGTTTATTCGCTTGGTGTTTTCGTGGTCTCTTGAAGACATTTTTAATGAGGATCTGTACAGAAACCAGGTTCGTTCTTTGCTACTCTTCTGGATTCTGGGGGTAAATTTTCAGCTGAGCATTTAACATTTTAGCAGGTCTTGGTTTGATTATTGATGAATAACTGTAGTTCAATTTTTCAGCAGAGTATTTAACATTTTCGTGCTTAAACTCGTAATTCTGCTGAAGTTTACTTTTAGATTGCATGGTGATTAGCTCTTTTCGAGCCCCCATTTTTTGGTAAAAATATATTTTGTTATAGGGATTTTTTCAGAGAATGAGTGGTTGAAAAATAAGAAAATGTTTTAGATTTATGCGTAAAATTATTTTATTAAGAGAATATGTGGTTGAAAATGAGTTTGGAGAAGAGTGTATTGTTGAAAAATGGGGCTCAAACAACGGCTTAAATTTGCATGTAATTAGAGGGTCTTTTAAGCAATTGAGAGACTAGGTAGAGAACTTATTCATTAATTTTGGTCATTTCAATAAGATGATCTAAGAGCATGTTTGCTTCAGCCTAAAAAGGAAACGTAAACTTACATTTTTACTATAGCAATTTTTGTACTAACTCTTTTTTTTTAGTTGAAGTAACATATTTGGGGGAGAAATGTACTTAAAAGTAACTAGTAAAACTTTCCAAATATGTTTGGCTAAGCTTAAAGGCACTTTTAAGTAAATGGGATTTTATTTTTTGGCTTGGCAAAACATGCTCTAGCAAAAAAAAAAAGGGAAATCTTTTTGTGAAGATGGATGTATAATCATGATCGATTAGTTAAAATGATAAATGCTAGCAAATAAGTTAAAATAGAGATAAAATGAAGTTTTCACTTATGAGGTGCTCTTAACATTTAGCCTTGTTTGGCCCCCATTATTTTGCATTTTTGGGGGTTGAAAATTTTTAGAATAGTGATTGATGGGAGAATGGTTGAAATTTTTTTGATTTGTGTGTAATATTATTTTATTTGATGAATGTGTGGTTGAAATGAAGAGAGAGAAAAATTTAATGTAATTTAATGGGGGCCAAACAAGGGCTTAGATTGTTGTTGCTGTTGTTGTTGTTACTACTTTCTCTTAGTCCATTGACTAGAGAATCTTTTTGTCGAAATTCTAAATTATTACTAATACTTTAATGAGAGATTTTCAGAATGTTTATATACATAAAGACTAGGTTATGCTAGTTGCAAAATAGATGATGATAAATGCTGCCTTTTGTTCATGTGGGTTGTACTAGATTAATTTTTAACAATATATTTAATCTTTCAGGGTATGTGTGATGGCAATGATGGAAGTTAACTAACATTATCATCTAATACCAAGTTGCTTTTGTTTGCCTTTTATCTGTTGTTTTTTTTTTTTAATCTTAATTTTTTTTATTAACTTTAGTTTCATTTAATGCATTTAGGTGGGGAAAATTCCAGAGTTGCATCAATCTGTGGATCGATATCTTGGTTCATATGTCTTCCCCTTACTGGAAGAAACTCGTGCGGAACTTGCATCTGCCATGGACGGTGTTTATAATGCTCCTTTTGCTGAGGTGATAGCTCTTGATGCGGCAATACCTCACGACACACACACTTTGCTGTATAATGTAAAAGTTGACAGATGGGAAAACAGATTAGGCCATGGTGATAGGGAGCCATATAGAACCTTGCCTGGAGATGTTGTTTTGCTTTTAAATAGGAAACCTGAATCGGTTGCTGACTTGCAACAAGTTGGATGGACATGGACTTTTGCATCAGTGACTAATATTGCGGAGGTTGAGACTGATGATAATTCTACGTCCACTGATTTCAAAGTAAAAGCTGAGCATGGCATTGAAGTTGAAGATGGACAATCACTTTATGTGGTTTTTTTGGCAAACATAACGACAAATCGAAGAATTTGGAATGCATTGTGCATGCGTAAAAACCTAGATATCATTGAAACAGTATTGTCCAAGAATGATCGGGTAAGTTACAATGCTAATTTGAAGGTTGATTCAAGCTATGGAGGAAATATATATTTAGAACTTCCGACCAACTTTCTCTTTATCAGTTCTCATTGTTAAAATTTTTCATATTCTCCTCATGCATTTTTTTGCCCTTCATATGTTTGTAGCTCATGGCATTTATCGACCAAAGAGGTTTTGGGTTATATGATTAAAACCTAGGAACACTTTTTGCTTGTATTACAATAAGTGTTGCAGAATCTGTGTGATTGATAAGTTTGCCTTAACTTTTCTCAATTAGGCTGTAATTGTTGTGTATATCCTCCTGTATTGATTGATAAAAAATATACAGAAATCATATCTGTCCGCATTGCATTAGGATTGCTGCGACCCGTTAATAAAAATTGTGCCTGTGTCAAGCCTTTAATAAAAACTGATTTAGGCCTGCATATGAAGGGGCATGTTAAAGGCTAACTTTAAATAAATAAATGTTTCTCCTTTCTAGAGCCTTGAATTTTTGGATGGAGTGGTTCAACAAAAAGGTTATGTAAATGTTTCCCTTTGTAGAACGTCTTTTGCTAATTTTGTTTTTATGTGATTTGTGTTGAGTGAAGTAACATAAGTTGTACACATGCTGATTATTTTGCTCCTATTCACAATACTGCATATTGCTAATAACAGTGATTTTAATTTTGTTTTTATGTGATTTGTGTTGAGTGAAGTAACATAAGTTGTACACATGCTGATTATTTTGCTCCTATTCACAAAGCCAGCTGAAGCTATTTGTCTGTTTTGAATACTGCATATTGCTAATAACAGTGATTTTAATCAACATGTGTATTTTTCTCAAAACAGGACGGAGAAGTTTGTGAACTTTGTTCTCTCCAAGGTGATACACAGTCAGATATAAAAATCGGACCAAATGCATTGTTGAAGCTAAATAAATCACAAAATGAGGCAATAGTGGCTTCTATTCTGAGAATGCAATGTGAGCACAAGTCTTCAGTCAAACTCATATGGGGTCCTCCTGGGACTGGGAAGACAAGGACTTTGAGTTTTATGCTATTTAATCTCTTGAAAATGAATGTAAGAACTCTTGTTTGTGCTCCAACAAATGTAGCAATCACAGATCTGGCTTCTCGAGTGATCAAACTAATGAGGGAATCTTTTGAAGTTGAACCTGAGAAGCACTTTAGAACTTGTCATTTGGGTGGCGTCCTTATCTTTGGGAACAAGGATCGTCTGAAATGTGGCTCAGACATTGAGGAAATTTTTCTTGATTATCGTGTTGATAGGCTTGTAGAGTGCTTTGCATCTCTAACTGGTTGGAACCATCGTATATCTTCCACGATTTATTTTCTGGAGGATTGTGTTTCTCAACACCAGATCTATGTGGAAAATGAGTCGATAAAAGCTAAACAAAGTCAAGAGGATGAAGTTCAAAAATCAAAGGCTAGAAAAGAGAATGAAGTTAAAAAATCAAAGGCAAGAAAAGAGAATGAAGTTAAAAAATCAAAGGCAAGAAGAGAGAATGAAGTTAAAAAATCAGAACCAGTATCTTTGCTTGAGTTTACTAGAGACAGGTTCAGTCATACAGCAGTGCCTCTCAGAATGTGTTTGTCAAAATTATTTACTCATTTATCTAGAAGTTGCTTGGGTGATCAAATTTTTCAATACATGGTACAACTCGTTTCTTTGCTCGACTCTTTGGAAATATTGTTGTTTCAAGACAAATTGACATCTGAAGAATTGGAGAATATCTTTTCACTTCAGGGAACAGTTGATTCTTCCCAATCATCTGTTGATGCTTCGCCCTTACTCTATACGAAGACCCAGTGCCTCTCTATTCTAAAATCTCTGAAGTGTTCTTTAGAAAAACTTGATTTCCCAAGTGTGATGAATAAAGCCTCTATAATGGAATTCTGTTTCAAAGACGCTTCCTTGATATTTTGCACAGCTTCTTCTTCATATAAGCTACACTCGGTGGATATTGAACCAGTCAAATTGTTGGTAATCGATGAAGCTGCTCAATTAAAGGAGTGTGAATCAATTATACCTCTTCAGCTCCCAGGCTTGAGGCATGCTGTTCTAGTTGGAGATGAATGGCAATTACCAGCGACTGTTATCAGCAAGGTAAGCATGATGGTACAGTAAGGGTCAGTGAAACTTGAATAGTGCCTGATGTTTTCTTTTAAATACTCTGTATTAATTAATTAATTAATTAATTAATATATATCTATCTATATATATACTTTCACAGTTGTCTGAAGAGGTTGCCTTTGGAAGAAGCTTATTTGGAAGACTGAGTTCATTGGGTCATTCTAAGCATCTGCTTGATATGCAATACAGAATGCATCCAGAAATTAGCCACTTCCCAAATTCAAATTTCTATCTGAAGAAGATCATAAATGCACCCAATGTGAAAGATAAAAGCTATGAACGAAGGTATCTACCCGGGAGAATGTATGGTCCTTATTCATTCATAAACATTCATGAAGGAAAAGAAGAAATGGATGATTTTAGTCATAGCAGAAGAAATTCCCGGGAGAATGTTTGGTCCTTATTCATTCATAAACATTCTTGAAGGAAAAGAAGAAATGGATGATTTTAGTCATAGCCGAAGAAATATGGTTGAGGTAGCTGTAACTGTAAAGATAGTGAAAAAACTCTACAAAGGTAATGGTTTCTTTCTCCTTTTCATGTCCATCAACTCTGTAAGTTTGTCTATGGCTTAACTGTTATCTTTATATATCAACAGTTTCCTTCCCTTTGCTATACTAATATACCGATTTCACATGATTTGACATAATAATTACTATTGAAACTGGCATAGTGAAACTTCATGCTTAGTACATTGAAAAATCACAGAAGACTAGTATTGTTTTGTTCTGCGAGGTCTTGATAGCATCGCCTTTATATTAGAATAATTGTCATACGTTCTTCTCGAATAATGTACATCTATATATTGTCTAAAAACATGGACACTCTGGGGAAAGCCTAGGATTATGTTAGAACTTGAGTTATTGCTTACTGTTGTTAGCAATTTGGTGAATCTCTTAAATGACTACTGTGTTTTTATGGTGAGGAGGGACGTTGATACTTTTATGCATACGAGTGCCCTATATTAACAATTTTCTTTTACGCATACTATGAACAGAATGGATTGGTTCACAAGAAAAACTTAGCATTGGTGTAATATCGCCCTATGCTGCTCAAGTTTTGGCAATTCAAGAAAAGCTAAGGGCTGAAAACCATGAGGGGTTTTCAGTTACAGTGAAGTCCATTGATGGATTTCAAGGTGGAGAAAAAGACATAATAATTATATCTACTGTAAGATCTAATAATGGTGGCTCCATTGGTTTCTTGGAAAGTCCTCAGAGAACTAATGTTTCTTTGACAAGAGCTCGGTATTGGCTCCCACATTCATTCTTTTACTTTACTTGTAAATTTTTCCTTTGAAGATTATGATGCTTACATGCTTTATACTTCCTAGACATTGTCTCTGGATCCTAGGGAATGAAAGAACACTGCAAAATAGTGAGTCAATATGGCAAGCATTAGTACATGATGCCAAGAATCGTCAATGCTTTTTTAATGCTGATGAAGATAGCGACTTGGCCAAAACAATTATAGATGTTAAGAAAGATCTAGATCAACTTGACGATCTACTCAATGGAGAGAGTATACTGTTCAAAAGTGCAAGATGGAAAGTACGCATTTTCCTGTTTACTGCTGCTATTTATCATTGAGATTATGCTGCTATAGAAACTAGTATCTAACTATAATGCATGCATAAACAATCTTATTTTGACGATGATTGATCTGCCAAATCTTGTTTTCTTTGTCTTACTCGTGCACTCTGCTATACATTATAGTTGAGTTGACCGGTACAAAAATGATCTAAAATTTTCTTTTGTAACCATGTAATTCTTTGCCCCCTTTGTTATCTTGATGCAGAACACCATAGTTAATCCAAATTTCTCTTTTCATTGCCTATCTACTTTCTTATTGGTACACACACTTTTCTTGAATTCATTTTTGTATATGTAACTCAGTCAAAATTAACTCAAATCATTTTTCATCCTATTTTTTGCCTGATGTACATTCCATTATAATTTTAACAAACTCCACCTGTCCCTATGTGGGGGGGTTCGGCATGAACCCATACCTATCCATTAATAAAGGCAAATTATATGTGAGAGGGGGACTAGAAGCCTTTACCTCGAGATGTACAGGGATGAGAGAGAAAACTGAGTAGAGAAAACATCTTTAAAGCATCTAGAGGAAGTGCTACCTCCTTGTTTAGAAAGAGACCAAATGAATCATTGTATTTAATTGGATTATAATATATGCTATTTTCATAGATGTTTCTTCCTTTCCAAATGACTTTATCAATTGATTATTTTTTTAACGTTATTTACTTCCACAAACAGGTTTTATTCAGTGACAACTTCAAAAATTCATTTGAAAAATTGATATCCTCCCGTGTGAAAAAGTCAGTAATGAATCTTTTACTGAAGATTGCTAGTGGATGGCGACCGAAGAGAAGAAGTGTGGACTTAATGTGTGAGAGTTCCTTGCAAATTGTGAAACAATTTAAGGTTGAAGGTTACTATATTGTTTGCACAATTGATGTAATGAAAGAAATGAACTACATGCAAGTTTTGAAGGTCTGGGATATATTACCTTTAGAAGCGGTCCAGAAATTGTTGAGGCGTCTTGATAGCATATTTGCTATGTATACAGATGACTTTATCCACCGCTGTAAGGAGAAATGTATAGAGGGGTAAGTCATTTTTGTAACAAAATGTTGTGATATGGTGAATTTCATTTTCCCACACAATGCGATGCCACGGTTCTCAAGTGAATAATCTTTATTTCGTCTCTTTTTTATCTAGGAATTTGGAAGTTCCCAAGATCTGGCCAATGTCCCACGATATAGTCCGATATAAGAGTATCATCAACAACAACATATTAGATGATGATTCAAGTGGTTGCATGGTAGAATGCAAAAGTTATGATGAAAATTCCAAAGTGAATGAGAGTTTGTTGTTGATGAAATTTTACTCTTTATCAACTGGTGTTGTGCACCATTTGCTATCTGACCAAGACTGCAGAGAACTTGATCTCCCATTTGAGGTTACAGATGAGGAGCGTGAAATAATTTTATTTCCTAGGAGCAGCTTTGTATTAGGAGCTAGCCCCTGGCCCTTTTGTTGAGTTTTGACTATGAAGCTTTACCGGAAAATAGAGCAGCACTGCCTTGCTTTAAACGGTTTTAGTTCCTCTGAGAGTTGTTTGTCCTTGAGCAATAGAGCTGATGAAGGACCATGTATGGGTGAATATAAGGACATTGTCTTGCATCAGCTTTTCGTCACTGTCAGTCCAAAACTCTGTTATGCCATCAAACAGCACGTGTCGCAGCTGAAAAGGTGAGTTTTAGTAATGTAATGTGATGTGTTACTAAAACATCATTTTGTTTTGTTTTCCTCTATCAATTTTAATATCTTATTATTGTTTCGGTGTTCTTATTCTTTTTTTACTCGATATGACTTCTCAATTGAATATTGATCTTTAATTTTGGCAAGAAATAATATTGTAATGGTTGTTTTCAACAGATACTATGAATAGTAATGTAGCTCCTGTTTGGTGTATATTAAAATCTTAAGTCAAAGTCAACAACTAATTTAACCACACATTTCATAGGATTTCATGACTTTTATCAAAATTTATTAAAAATCTGATTTTAATTTACACCAAAAAGGGGGTGTAAGATGTTGGTGACCTATTTCTCCAAATTATGTTGAAGTTAGCCCCTCATATTATGAAAATAATGAGTTGACTTGCATATTTCATCAAACAGGATACTTTATTTTGTGTTGTGCGAAGATAATTAAGCTATGACAGTATTATAATGTTATTAGTACTAGTGGGTGCACACGACCTACCAGATCTCGTAAAAAGAAATGCTCATTGAATGCAAGTGTAAACATTTTTCTTCTCATAAAATTAATTCATTCTTCGGCCTCGGTACAAAATATTTTCGCTCTACAGTTTTCCACTCTGTTAAGCCAACTGCCTTGGGTGTTCTGATTCATGGTAAGACCCTTTAGATTGATAGGAAACATTGTGACTTTGACCATGGTTCTCAAAGAGTTGAAAAAACACATATTGATCTTTGGCATATTGTTTGCCTTGAGTGTTCTGATTCATGGCATGGCCCTTTAGATTGATAGGAAACGTTGTGACTCGGACCATGGTTCTCTAAGAGTTGAAAAAACACAAATTGATCTTTGGCATATTGTGAAACCAGTGGCTGTCATTGTAAGATAATATAATAAGCTCACGATCCTTGTCAAGGTAAAAAATAAATTAGAAAGGACTTTTGAATTTTATTATTGGTGCTCGTAACTCCTTTCATTTCATGTAAGATTTAGAATAACTTGGAAGATAAATATATCATACTAGTAATATTTTGATAATGATTTGACCTTGGTAAAATAGTCTCAGCTCATGTATTCAACTTATGGTCAATATTATTTATTGGTACCGTGAATTCAGTTTAGTTTGAAACTACTTCAAAGTTGATACATTTTCTTCTATATCTCCACTCATAGTGAATTGCTCTTCTTCAATTAAGGAATATTTATATATCTGGCAGTAACATTTTTATAGATTTTTTGAAAAATCTAATACTTGATTTTATTATACTCAACATTGTTCTTTCTGACATTTCTAATATTCACAGCTTTGCTGGTGGTGGACAATTCTATAGTGATGACAGTTCTATTGATGTGGATGATATTGATCAAATGGCACAATTTCAGGACATTCCTGATTCATTTGTTGGAATTAAACCAGAAAAGTATCCTCTTGTTATTACACTTCAAAAGTTCTTATTGATGCTCGATGGTTCTCTGGGTAATTCATTCTTTGAGAGGTTTCCAGATCTAAAGGATTTTTCTCAAGATAAAAGAAGTTTGAAATCTGCGGTATTGCAATCTTTCATGAGGAAAAAGGAGGTTAACTTTGACCATTTCAAATCCTTTTATTGGCCACATTTCAATTCAAAGTTGACAAAGAATCTCGAACCTTCAAGAGTTTATACTGAGATAATGTCTCGTATAAAAGGAGGCTTGCAAGTGGGGGAGGAATGTGATATTAAGCTAAACAGGGAAGACTATGTTTCATTGTCTGATAAGAGGGTGTCTACTTTTTGTGCTCAGGAAAGGGAGGCCATCTATGATATTTTTAAGGACTATGAGAAAATGAAGATGCAGCTTGGTGAATTTGATCTTGCTGATTTGGTGATCGACCTTCATCATCGGCTAAATAATGCGAATTTACAGGGTGGAAAAATGGACTTTGTATATGTTGATGAAGTGCAAGACCTTACCATGAGACAAATTGCTTTATTTAAATATGTTTGCAAAAATGTTGATGAAGGCTTTGTATTTTCAGGCGATACAGCACAGACTATTGCAAGAGGAGTTGACTTTAGGTTTGAAGATGTACGTTGTTTATTCTACAAGGAGTTTCTAATGAAAACAAAACAAATTGAATGTGGAGGTAGAAAGGAGAAAGGACATTTATCAGATATGTTTAACTTGTGCCAAAATTTCCGTACTCATTCTGGTGTGCTCAGATTAGCGCAGAGCGTAATTGATCTTCTTTGCTATTTTTTCCCTTATTCTATTGATGTATTACCACCTGAGACTAGCTTTGTATATGGTGAGCCTCCAGTTGTGATTGAGCCAGGTACTGATGAGAATGCAATTATCACTATTTTTGGATGTAGTGGAAATGTTGGAAAAATGGTAGGTTTTGGCGCTGAGCAGGTCATATTAGTGCGTGATGACTCTGCGAGAAAGGAAATATCTAACTGGATTGGACGCCAAGCTCTTATTTTGACCATAGTGGAGTGCAAGGGCCTTGAATTTCAGGTGAATAATTTGTGCCTATTTCATTTTCTCCCCTTCACAATTTACTTTCGAAAGCATTGCATTATGTAAGATACTATCTCATCTCAAAACATTATGAGATGCAGAAATTACACGACTGATATATGTTATACTAATACATTATTGCTGTTTATTCTCACTAATGTTGCACATTGCGCTTCAGGATGTGTTACTATTCAACTTCTTTGGCTCTTCACCCCTGAGGGGTCAATGGAGAGTAATCTACGAGTTCCTGAAAGAAAAAGACTTGTTTGATTCCAGTTTTCCCAAGTCCTTTTCAAGATTTAACCAATTAAGACACAATATCTTGTGTTCTGAACTAAAACAGTTATATGTGGCCATTACTCGAACAAGGCAAAGATTATGGATTTGTGAAAATGCTGAAGAGCTTTCCAAGCCAATGCTTGATTACTGGAAGAGACTTGGCCTTGTGAATGTGAGGAAAGTTGATGATTCACTAGCACAGGCAATGCAAAGAGCAAGCAGCCCAGAGGAATGGAAATCACAGGGAATTAAGGTTACGGTGCTTTTCTACACATTTTTCCTTTCGCCTATTCCGTTAATTTGCTACCCTCTTTGGTATTCCGTTTGATGATTGGTTATTGTGTTGAAAAATTAGTCTTATGTACTTCTGCCAGCTCTTTTGCGAAAAAAATTATGAGATGGCCATCATGTGCTTCGAAAGAGCTGGAGAACCAACATGGGAAAAACGAGCTAAAGCTGCTGGCCTTAGGGCATCTGCTGATCATATGCGTGGTTCAAATCCCAATGAGGCCCGTATAATGCTTAGAGAGGCTGCCGAATTATTTTATTCTGTTGGCAAAACAGATTCAGCAGCTGAATGTTTTTTTGACTTGGAGGAATATGAAAGAGCAGGTGCATAATAGTTTGTTGCGCACAATATTAAACCACTACACACTATAAATAGTCTTTCTAATGCATTGCATATATCCTAATTATTTTTATGAGTATATTTTATTGAAGTCTGCATTTATTTCCTTCGTTTAACTTTCATATTCTTCTGAATGTTAAAATAATTTTAGCGATGCATCAATTCTGAAATTCCCATTCTGCAAGGTGCTAAATTGTTGATTGGTATAGTCTACGGTTTAAGAAGGAAGGTGCAACCTAAATACTATAAATATGAGCTACGTTTATGTGATGCCCTATTAATATATGACAACAAACTGATTCACAAGAAAATCCTATTCAGGAGTTGACTAATTTGCAGTTCCATCCATCACTTGCTCTAGACCTGATGCACACACCTGGCTGCACCTTCATGTGAACTTTTGATTTCACATTATTTTAAGTTTTATATGAACACTTCTTTATGTTTATCATTCTTGTATCTCATAGCCTTCCTTTTGATTCTAAGTTCAGCTATTTTCATAGTAATGAATATATTTTTACTCTCACTTTTATGTTTACAAACTATAATCTGCATAACTATTGCTGCAGGAAGGATTTATTTGGAAAAGAGTGGCGAATCAGAGCTAAAAAAAGCTGGTGAATGTTTTACTCTAGCTGGACGCTATGAGCTCGCAGCAGAAGTTTATGCAAAGGGAAACTTCTTTGTAGAATGCTTGTCAGCTTGCAATAAAGGGAAATGTTTCGAGATTGGCTTGCAATATGTTGAGCATTGGAAACTACAAGCATCACTAACTGTTGGTATGATGAATAGGTTTAAAGATTTGGACAAAATTGTGCAGGAGTTTTTGGAGAGTTGTGCTCTGGATTGTCACAAGTTTAATGATAGAGCTTTGTTGATGAAATTCGTTCAAGCTTTCCACACAATGGAATCCAGACGAAACTTCTTGAAGTCTCTTGACTGCCTTGAAGAGCTTTTGGTTTTGGAGGAAGATACGGGAAACTTGATGGAAGCTGCAGAAATTGCAAAAGTGATTGGAAATCTTCTACTTGAGGTTGATCTTCTCGGGAAAGCAGGGCATTTTAGAAATGCCTCTTTACTTGCCCTGGCCTACGGGCTTTCTTGCTCTTTATGGGATTCTGGAGGTAAAGGTTGGCCCCTCAAGTCATTTCCTCAAAAGCAGGAACTTATAAGTAAAGCAATTTCATTTGCAGAGAAGGAATCTAGAAGTTTCTATGAATTCGTTTGTGCAGAAGTTAAAATTTTGTCACATGAGCAGAGTAATTTGTTTGAGTTGATGCAGTGTTTCAGCGGTTCACAGAAGCACGGAAGTATCACGGCTGAAGTTCTGTCTGTTAGAAAACTTCTAGATGCTCATTTTCAATTACATCCGGCAAAGTATGAATTGGAACATGAATTTCCTAATGACTTGAAAAAATATTCAGAAGAAAGAATTTTGCAGAACCAATTGTCTCCCAGAACTCTATTTTACCTTTGGAATTTATTCAAGGAGAACATTTTGGGAATCCTAGAATGTCTTGATTGTCTCGAGAGAAAAGACATCAGCAAATGCGACCGAACTGTTGACTTCTGTTTGCACTATTTTGGCATCCGGAGGCTGTCAAATAATCTGAATGTAACCTATCGCCTGCTGAACCCTGCAGCAGAATGGGTAAAAAATATTGATGGGAGGTTCTTACGGCGGCAAAGAGAGGTGGTGACACTTGAAGCTCAACATTTTGTTTCCACCTTTAGGACATACTGGCTTGGAGAATTACAATCTGTTGGATTAGGAGTTCTTCAAGTTCTTGAAGCCCTTTATAAATCTTTTGCGGTGAAATCCTTGTCTAAGTATTGTCAAGGCATCTGCCTGACCTTCATCTTTGATATAGTGAAATTCTTCACCAAGTCCAAATTGCACGACTTTAAGAACATTTCTAGCAAGAAGTTGCTGAATTTTATAAATATATCAATCAATTACTTTGACATTGTTTTCCCTCTAGACTCTCGGGCATCCTTGTCAGAATATATGATTTCTCTGAGAGGAACTGAACAGTCGCAGAATTTACTCGAAGAAGTTATCGTTCGACATATTAGCACAAAAGATGGACTGACCTATGGACAAATTGGGAGGGCTGTGATGATTTTGCTTGGGTCAGACAGGCACAACATTGACCTTTATGAGATGATTGTTAAAAGGATCCCCAAAAACTCGTCTTGGAAAGAATTCGTTGAGATTCTCAGGGGGAACCCGGAGTCAGAGTCAGATTCGCTGATTCAAAAGTTCTACCAAGCTTTGAAAGAAACTTATACAACCGACTGGTGGAGGGTAAGGGACTATATATCACCTAATTGTTACTTGTATCTTATGGAGCGCCTTGTTATTTTGGCATCTCACTACTGCAGTTCCTTCTTCACTACAAAATCATCATTTGTGGAATGGTTAGTATATCATCAATCTCGTGGCATCCCAAGTTCTAGTTTAGTCACTGACAAGCAACCCTATTCAAGAAATGTCTTTGATTTTGTTTTTAGTGTGGTCCAGCAGTTACTTTGTAATGATCGTGATACAACACAATGGATTAGAGAGTCTAGAATTAATTACACGTACTATCCGGTGCTAGTGTTGAGGTTGTTTGTTATACTGTGCTTGCTGTGTCTTAACTCCAGAATGTATTCCAATGTACTTTTTGAGCTTCTGAGTCTATCTCACATCAGAACCCAGCTTCCAAGAGAATTCTGTGAAGCTCTTCGAAAGGAAAGGAAGAAAGATGATGTGAATTTATGTACAGTTGCTAAAGCATTCAAATCAATTGGGGATCCTGTTGTCATTGTCACCTGGGGAGAAAATGATCGGAAAGTTTTCTGTCCTGATGCCATTATTCTTGACATGAGTGTTTCCCGGAGCAAAAAAGACATCGTTGAAGTTTTGTTTCCGAGCTGCGGAAAAACTTCTCATGGACAAATCACTTCAGTTGAAGAAAATATGATTAAATCAAGCAGTGAACTTCCTGCTAGCAGTGGCAATCATGGCAAGACTTCTATGTCGCCAATTTTGAATACGGAATCGAAAACAGATCGGAACTTGAGTACAGGGAATGGAAAGGATGGGCTGCAGATGAATTGGGGAGTTCTTCGGGAAATATCTGATATATTGAAGTCTGTGGAAAATAGAAAAGATGGAAATCTGAAGATCCTTGCAATGGAAAAGAAGGTAATTTTATATTGGTTATCTTGTGGCAACTTCTGAACTTATTCCTGATCGTTAGAATAATTGTTTTCTTTTTCTTCAGGTACAAGTGGAGGAGATTATTAACATCTTAACCACTGAAATGATCCATATCTCTGATGAGAAATCTCCTGCTGGTGAAGATAATAACACGCTGGGTGAAGCCATCAACGCAATTGAGGAACTGAAGCAGATTTCTTCTTTGATTACAAGGTTAGTCTTTGTGGGACCTATTTGCTAACAATCTGGCAATCGAATGGCAGTAACTTGCCGAATCAAGTTTCTAAGTAGAATTGAGGAATCATTTCTTGTTCTTGACCTTTTGACCGCTGATAATCCTGAAAACTTTACTGAGCCTGTTATCTCTCTTTCTTGATAATCGGATTGTAACCATGGCTTACTCTTTTAATATTGCAATATAACTCTACCCTCTTGAGTATCAAATATGCCCCTTCTGACATTAGGAGTGCTTTGGCAATCTTGGAAATCAGTCTTATTGCTGTTCCTGTTTTATCAAAAGAAAGTGAAGTGTGAAAGGTCTTATTCTCGAGACAAAAGAATGTTTTGGGGTTATTGCATTTAGAGAACGTCATATTTGTATCTTTTACTTGAATGACGTGTATTTTAAATAATCTCCAGTGACTTAGAAGAGAGAGAGACTTTGAAGATTGAAGAACTTTTGAAAAGCTTGGAGTCAAGAAGGCCTAGACTCAATATATATCTTAGTCGGTTCATTGTGCAGAATGATAAAAAAGAAAAAAATCAAAGTGTTGTATCTTGTGATGGGGAAATTTCTAACAGTAATAGTACCGAAGATAGCATGAAAAATTTACCCATCACTGTTGCTCCCGACACACAAAGTAAGCCGGACCAGGTCAGCGAAGGCAAGCAAGGAAAAGGAAAGGGCAAGAATAAGAAGGGAAAGAAATCGAAAGGTCGGAAAAAATAAGCTGGATGGAAGTCTTGACCATTGAGCACTTGCAAACTAGTGGAAATTGTGTAAATATTGATNGAAATTGTGTAAATATTGCTGTTTTGAAACTGCTAAGATCATCTTAGCCTTCATGCTCCGTCACATCATTTATGGAGAAAGATGACTGGTAGCTTTTGCTAGATTTAACTTTAATTATATGCTATTTTTATTTCTCTTCACGTTTAAGCAAATGCTATTTTAATTTCTCTGCGAGAGGCTGGGGAAGTAGTAGTATAGAAAGCAAGATTATGGTTTCCCTAGAGATTCTTCAGATTAAAGCATTTTAAAATAGAAAGCGGGTTTGACTTTGTAAATTTAAGGAGCCAAATCGATTCAAAATATTCCTGTTTTCATTGCTGACCTAACTAATATAAAATAGTAGATACAAAGAAAATAGAGGGAAATAATATAATAATTCGGATGAACGTTGGTAAAAATAAAAGAGAGAATAATAATAAAGACATTATGAGAGTAGTCAAATAAAGTTTTAAGGATAAATAGACTGTTGAAGTATTTAAAATTTTGTACTCATTAAATTTATAAATGATCACTAAATTGCAAATTATGCTCTTTAAAATAGAATATCAATTGGAGATTCTTAACTACGGCCTAAACAATTGTCACGCGTTTTATACAACGTGATTTATACAGCAAGTGTGCGGTATCAAGTTTTGTAATATAATAATGGAGTTATAGTGTTGAATCCACATGGATTATAATTTAAATTTCTACTAAGTACTATAATTATATAGCTTCTATTTTATCTAGATGAATGAATTTTATAATCAATGTTTTTGTAAATTAATATGGTGACGAATTCAACAAATAAATGCAAGCTAGAAGAATAATCAAGCAAGATTCTCAATTATATAATTATTTCTAATCAAATTTTCAAAGTTCATAAGCAAGAATACTAACGTAATTTTACTCCCTCTCTTCAGTGTCGAGTAAAAACTATTCCTATATTTTAATTCTAATATTTCAATTCCGAATTAATATATATAATTTATCAAGTTCGTGGTTCTTAATCTCTCGAGTGCCGGCATTGACTAGCGTCAAATAATTCAATTAGTGGCCAATTAATTGAAAGCATTAAAATTATAACACATATAAACACACGCTGAAAATCTAAAAGAAATAACTAAAATTAATCAATTCATATTTTTAAGTTTTTGGCTACAATCAAACCCTAAATAATGAATTTAGCTCACGATTTAATATTTGAAAATACTAAAATTCATATAAAATGACATAGGAAGAGAATATAAAAACTAGGATATAGATCTTCAATTTCTTCTATTGTTCTTCTTTGTTTTGTTCTTGAATCTCTTGTAATTTTTTCTCTGTCTTCTTGAAGAATTGCGTTGAATTTCCCTTTGCCTATTGAACCGTTTTCCCCTTTAGAATTAGATCTTAAATGTTGTATTTATAGTATTTTGAAGTTTTGGAAAAATTAGAGTCGTGTTGGGCCAAGAACAGAGTACAAGAAATTCAAAAACCCTTTTTCTCCCCCAGCGGCGCCTCGACGCCACAATCGTGGGGCTGCGGCGCCCAGTTGCTGTTGAATTTCAGCAATGGTGGCGCTGCGGAGCCACTACTGTAGTACTGCGACGCCTAGTTTCGGATGAAAATTTAGCACGCGTGTCCTTCAGTATTTTTATCATAATATTTTCTCTCAATGTTCGATTGAAGAGATTCAAGATGCGTTTGAAAGATAACTGTAAGGGCTACAACGTTGCTTCAGATATCATTTTCCAATTCGAACGTTTACTATGTTAAAAATGAGTCTCAATATGAGACTGAAAATCCGGAGCATAATTTTTTTGGTTGGAAATTGATGTGTAATTATACTTTGCCTATATTTCACCCATTTGACTTCTTTTTTCATCCAATTGACTCTTAGAACTCTCGAATTTTCATTGTGAGGTCCAAAACAACTTTGTAGTATTTTCATTTTAGTCCTGAACTTTGAATCTCTTACAATTTAGCCATCTTCTCCAATTTTGCCAACTTTGCTTATTTCCTTTATTTTAATCAACCTATATCACAACATCAAAACACACATTAAAACACTCTAAAACACATAAAAATTAGTTAAATATCAAGTTTAAATGATGTCCAAAGTAGAGGAAATACATGAAAATAACCTTTACACTGTAGTGTATTTCCAAAGTGACCTTTGACTAGGAAATAGAATT